CCTAAACAGCAAGACAGCCCACACAGGACTTTGGGACTTCCCCAAAAGAAAAGATGCCTGGTAAGCACACTTATCCCAGACCCAGCACGCTGAACAAGGCAGAGGAATGGGATGGTGATGGGGGAGAATCCCTCTCCCTCAGCCCCTGCCTCCCATCTGGAAGGAGATGTGGTGAAGTATAAAATATTCCTCTCAGGCCTGGCTTTCTGCTGGACAGGCCAGCCCTGCACAGATGATGAGCTGAGCTCTTGGCCTCTGGCACACATGGTGCCCATTTTTCGTAGCCAGGCAGAGCTACAGCCCAGGCTGGGGAACAGCCTTTCTTGTTGGATTCATCAGTGGTATGCCTAGCAGCTAAGAAGCTCCTTACAGGGCCCAGCAGTACGGCCAGCCAGGAGCTGAACATGGTTATTGTAGCCTGAGGCCCACTTCCAATCCAATTACACACAACAGCTGTGCGATTCCTCTCCTCTGTCCCAGTGCCGGGACTAGACTTTGTGGCTGTCAGGGGCAGCAAGTTGAGAGGCAGAGTCAAGTTGAGTGGCACCTTGAAAGGGTGCCATCCTGAGGGAGAAGGCAAGGGGATAGGAGACAAAGAAAGGGGGCAGTAGAGGCAGCACTCACGTTATAAACCATCCTCTCCTTTTTGGCAGAATTAGTTGTTCCCCGTTTAATTGATATTGGAGACAGCACATTACTGGCAGAATCATTCAGATAAGAGGCTTATGCCTATGCAAGTGTTTGTGAGAGCATGAGAATAAGTGTGTATGAGTGTGCAAAAGGGACTGCATACATAGTGAAGGGCGTGCAAGTGGGAGCATTTGAGAATGAATGAAGCCCTGGGGACAGATGAAGATAAGAAAAGGAGGTAAAGGAATGAAGGCTTGACAAGGAACAAGATCAAATGGCCTGGACTTTTCTGCCTCAAAAACCCAGTAAAATGGCTGTCCCCTCGAGGCCTCTGTGCTTACAACAGAGTTGGTTACCCCCTGCATGCAGGCGAGGACACAATCCTTCTCAGGATCCAGAGTAACTAGGGCATCTCCACAAGGCCACACTTATTTCTTTAAATACAAATTCTAATAGTAGCCAGAGCCATAAGAAATGATCCCCTTCGGCAGGTCTGACACCGGGTGCAGTAATCAGGCCCATATCACCGTCCTGGGGAGGCCCAAGCAGGTCTCCCACCCCAGAGGTGGGGGCGGAAGGTGACACAAGTGGGTGCAGTGCTAACTTAGGCCTTGTCTTCACTGCCACACTACATCGGTGCAGCCGCACTGATGTAACTGAGCCAATGTAGCACATCTGGTGAAGACGCATTATGTCGACAGGAGAGTGCTTTCCTGTCAATGTAATTACTCCACCTCAACGAGAGGCAGAAGCTATGTTGGCAGGAGATGCTTTTTCACACCCCTGAGCAATGTAAATCACATCAACTTATGCGGTAGTGTAGACAAGCCCTTAGATATCAGTCTCTCATGGGTATCAGAGCCAATTACCCTAATATCAGAACACCAAACCCCTACCCCTTTAAATGCCCCTTCTCCCCATAAGCAGCAAGATAGAGGCACCTCACAAGATAGAGGCACCTCCTCTGTTCTACTGGTCTATTCTCAACAAATTACTGTTCACCCCAGGCCTCTGGACCAATGGGAAAGAACAGGAGGAGCAGGGGAAGTAATGAACACCACAGGGGAAGAGAAAGAAGAGAGCTTTACTCTCACACGACAGCTGTGCATTCTCATCCCACTTTTATTGGGTCTCAATGGCGTGAACCGATACTTAACAATGATAAAAATATCAATGCACAGAGCTCTGGGCACTTTATGAAGGTGAGCCAGGATCTGTAATCCCGAATTTACAGACAGGAAATCTGAAGCACCAAGAGGGGAAATGACTTGCCCTCGAGGCCACACAGCTTGTCAAGTGACCCAGCTGAGCACAGACTCCAAGAGTCCTGACTCCCAGTGTCCCACTCTAACCTCTGGATGTCACTGCTTTCTGTGTGATGCTTGTGTGAATGGACAACGCCCCCACTTAGGTGGTAGATTGACACCTGATGAACTCATTTCATTTGTGAAGTGAGCCAAGCAGGATCTGAAGCTCGTTCTCAAAGGGAGAGGGGCACGCCAGCTGCTAGCCATAGTTCCCAGGGGACCCCTCTTAACAGCAAAGAGACCTCACAGGCTGAGAGCTCATGCTAAAAGTAAAGTGACTATTTGCTTTGAATAAGATCCATTTCCCTGCACCTGGCAGGGGCTTGGCCTAAGAAAAGCCTTTGTAACATGTGCTTTGCTGAAGCCAGCACCAGGCTGTTCACAGGAGCTTGTTTTCCTGGGGAATTAGTTCTAGCCAGTCTATTCAACAAGTAAAATTAATCAATTAATCAATGGGCCCTTTACAGCCCTTCTGCTGCCTGTGGGTAAATAGTTACATTAGCTCATAAAATTCCCCAATTTGTCTTGCAAACGGTGAACAGTTAAAATGGTTGCTTGGCAGGGGCCCTGGGCTCCACTCTCTGGCTTACGATTGGCTAGCACACAAGGTAGTGAGCAAGCCCCAGGCTTGGACAGAGAAAATGCAGATCTGCAACCTCTCTTACTGTGGGTAAGGAAACCTGGCTGTGTTCTACATAAAATAGCCCAGTCCTGTGCAGGAACACAAGTGCAGTCTGCAGGGAGAAGAAAGGACGCGACAGGATGGGGCAATATAGGACCTTCTTGGACTAGACCTGTATCAGTTCAAAAAATAAGGTACAGGCAAGCATCGAATTGAGAACATGTGAAAATGAGTGTGGTAGCACATGAAAAAGTGTCTGAACATGACAATAAGAATGTGAGAAAGCATGCAAGAAATCCTGAGCCTGAATGCATGGGAGTGTGGGGAAATAAACACTGTGTGTCCAGGTGTGCAAACGCTTGTGAGAACATCTGAGAATGGGGGGCAGGGCAGTGCAGCCCATTCACACACTAGATGGAGAGCCGCAAGGTTAACAAAACTCTGACCTGTGGATTTCGGTACATCTGCTCTCCCTCTCCAGGCCACCCAGAGCAATGATAGCATCGTTTTCATCTCTGCCCTGTTTACCACTGGCTGGGCCCACCCCATCTGGCTGCTCATATACCCTCTGCAGCCTATTCAAGCCACACAGGGAGTATTTTTGATGTACAAGACAGCAGCCATTTATGGCACAAAATATCATCCATTCCACTGGGCCGAGAAGGGGCCAAGCTACAGTGAGCCATTGTCAGCCTGACTCCACCTTCCACCCCAGCCACGGGGACAGAAGCAGCTCCAGTGCACAGTGGAGGGGCCTGTTAGCCCACAACCCTTCCACATCATCTTCGGACACACCTCTAGCCACTGGCATTGCCTTCCCTCTCCATGCAACAGAGACAAGTATCTGACCTGCTGAGAGGGAAAAGCTCCTTGACTCCCCAGACTGGGGCTGATAAAGCCAGTGGTCCTTGTTTGCAGGAGTCCTGGTGGTGGAGTCTCTCTTTCTGCAGCATCTCAAGGGGCCATTTTTTGCCATCTGGCCTCTTTCTTCCCTATTATCTGCACTTTGGGTATGCAGTGACACCCCCTCCTTGGATATTCATGCACAGAATATAAAGTAACTATAATGAGTAAGGGGCCCCAACTAAGGGGCTGAGAAGGGCTGGGGGAGTGAGATTTACCCAGACCATTTGTCCACACAGATTCTATGGATGAAACTAACAGGGCTGAAAAATCTGATTGTTCAATGATAGAAAAGCAACAAATGGAATGCAGAAGTATTTTCAGGTTCAATTCTGGTGCCACTGTAATGCCGACAGACCCCGATCATTGGCAGGCGGGATCAAACCTACGACCTCTAGAGCTAAATGCATGAGCCTCTACTGCATGAGCTAAAAGCCATATGGCTGTTAGCTAAGGCTGTAGAGCAGACTCATTAATCTCTCTAAGTGGTCTCGGTGCAACTAGATGGGCAGAACACCATACCCAGGAGGTGTGTGGGTTACACCATGAGTTGGCAAGTTATGCATATGGCTTAGAAGGGAAGGATCGACCCACTTAAAATAACCCATAGTCCTGCTCCCATTCAAGCCGAAGGCCAAACTCCCACTGAGCCTTCATTCGGAGTCTAAATCAGGCGCCCAGTGGAGCTTCCTGGAGGTGAGGTTAGAATCAGGCCCATTGGTTTCAATGGCAGCAGAATGGGGACCATGGAGCGAGCACTCTCAGTTAAAGGCTTTCCCAGCTGAAGATGAGGGATTCATCCCCCCTCAGTGATGAGAGTGGTATGGGGACTAGCTGCTGGAGTTCTCTATGAAAGAACAATTCCATGGTGGTAGATCCTGAAAATAAACTCTCCAGTTTGATTGCATTTTCTCTCTCATATCTGATTTATTCACATGCTATAGAAAGGAAACTGTCAAGACCCCAAATGAAGAGTTTACAAACCCCAGTGCGACAGGAAATATTTTCACTAAGCAAAAAAATATTTTACTAAGCAAAAAAACCAACAAAACCCCCTCTGTATTTGTGTTGGTGGAGACCCAAACACGGCAACTTTTGGCACTGGAGCCAGAAAATGGAACAGACTATAACTGGAAAGTGAAACTGACTAAACAAGTTTCACCATCCCATGCTGAGTGACAATTCAAAAAAACCTGAACTATAAAATGATGAAACGTATGTTTCAGCTATTTAAATGCAATAATCACTCTCAGGTTAATAGCAACACGGAGAACAATTTTTTACAAAACCTGATTTTTATCTTGACAGCATCCCTATAACTGGTCTATTTAGTTTTGTGCCAAAAGAGAAATTTTGCAAGGGAACCTCTAGATAGAGAACCTCTATACAAAGACCTTGTAATCCAACCCCCACAGTGCCCAGCACAACATTCACTCTGAACACTCATAGCCAGCATGGTGAGATTTCTACCCACTCTCATTCCCTACCCCACCCACCCCCCAAGAATAATCTTCCAGCTCAGTGAACATAACACTCACCTGGAATATGATTGACATCTGTCAAGACGTTTTCAGGGGAAGCAGAAGGGAGATGTGGAAAGAGAAAGAGAGAGAAGAGAGAAAAGCATTAGAGACACACACACACACAGCAGCTCAGTATTCTTGCATGGAAATCAATTTCATGCAAACCCAGAAGTAATTAGGTTTGTTGGAAGGCCACCCGTCTGCAGCCAAACGCCCACCCATGCAAGGGAAAAGGGGTTGGCTCCCTCTCCGCTGTGCATGTAAAAATGAATCTTCCATCATATCTGTCTGGAGAAAGTGCGCTTCTGGAATCAGACATACCCAAGTCAGGCCTGTTCCTGCAAGAATATCAGTTAGAATATTCTATGGCGCTTCATGCACAAATGCAAACAAACAAAAAACTCACTGGCCCACAGCAAGTTTTGTACTTCACATAAATTCAAGGAAGTTTTCAGAAAGGGGAAAGGAAACTGCTCCCCCTTTAAGAGGGGTCATTTGAATTTATGACCTGTTGCGGGGCTCTGAACACAGTCCCAAAGAGAAAGCCTCTCCTTTTAATTCCTCCTGCCCACCATTCCAGGTGACCATCCTTCACTGCAGACAGCGGGGTTTGTGCGTCAGAGGTTTGCACATGTTGTCTCTTCCCAAGACTCTGGATTCAAACCAAGAACTGTTCAATATGTTTTCCCCTCGTGTGACACAAGATCCCTTTTCCAATCAATCAAATTAATCCTGGAATAAATAAGTCCATTAAAAAGGAGAGAAGCAGGAACTTGTAAGTGGCCATATCAATCATGGGTTAGGTACATCTTAGGAGCTATGGTGTCAGTTTCAATGCATAGTCCATCAACTACAGTGAATGAAGCAAAATAAATTCCTGCTTCTCTTTCCACCATCATCAATTTAGTCTCGTTCCATGCACTTATACTTGTCATAACCCCTGTGGGGTGAGCCTCTGAGATCTCACAAGCTATGCAGGATCTAGCTAGGTCAGTATTTGAACAGGAGTGGAATCCTCCAAGGAAAAACTCACAGTGCAGCAGGAAGCAGTGCTTCTGATTCAGAAGGTGGCACTCTTCCCTTTAAGTATCTAACCAATGCCCAAGTGTGGTGATGGAGGTGCTGTGCTGCTGGAGGTATCATCTTTTAGATAAGATATATTAATCACCTGGGGTCACTAAAGTTCCCATGCTACTTTTCCCACAAGACTAGGAATGTACTATGCTGGGTGACTTGGCCTAATACCAGCTTTGAATAATATAATTCTTCCTCTCTGGATCCCCTGTCCAGTTTTAGTTTGATATTAGATTCTCTACTCTCTGTCCTAAACTGTTGTGATATTGTAGAATACTATGACACAGTCGCCACGTTCCACCCCAGCAGTGTCTGCATTTCACTGGTGAGCAAGTGAGCCCTGTTCATATTGCCCGTTGTATGTTACTTTCTAAGTGACTTTGGGATCTTTTGAGAATAGGTACACAGGAGTAGGTATACATGGCACTTTATAGATATATTAAACACAGTCCTTGCCTGAGGAGTTAATAATCCACAGAAGACAACATACAGACTAAGAGAGGAATGCAGCACCAGGTCATTTCATCTAGATTGCTTAGGCTATGCATGCTTGCTGGGTCCAGGAGGTTTTATTTTATTTTTATGTGTACTTTTTAACATAATCGTGTTTGATATTTTAGGGAGCTGGCAAGGGAACAGGAAAGGACAGCTGGCACTGAAAGACTGGCTGGAAGAAGCTAGTTTTTAAGTGCAGGGAGAATATTCAAGGTGCAAGGAGTAGAGTGTGCAGTGGGAATGGGAGATGGCATGAGAGAAGGGGAGAGATATAGAGCGGAGATGAACCTTGAACATGAGTGTGGAGGAGTGTGAACTTGATGCAGAAGTAGATTGGAAACCACTGGAGGGATTTATGCTGGGAGGTTGCGAGGGGATCAGAATGGCAGGCTAGGGAGATGGTAGCATTCAGAGAGAAAGATGATAGAGAAGGATGAGATATCACAATTATTGATAATTCAGCAGCTGCATCAAGAATCCATTCCAGGCATGCACAGAAATCCAGTATTAAGTTCTCCTCCTCTCGGGGACTTCACCCCAAGTCAAGTGTTCAACCCTTAGTGTTCAAATGAATAAACAGAAAGAGGAACCAGTTGACATGAAACCAGACTTAGGCCTGGTCTACACTAGAAACTTAGGTCGACATAAGCCACGTTAAATCGATCTAATCATGTATATGTCTACACTACTGAGTCCCTTCCGTCGACCTAAGTGGCCTGTAAAGTCAACTTCTGAACTCCACTTCCGCGAGAGGCATAGCGCTTGATTCAACATCCACAGGTCGACATGGGGATAGTGTAGACACTGTTGTGTAATTCGAATGAATTGGTTTCCAGGAAGTGTCCCACAGTGCTCCGCTGTAACCGCTCTGGAGAATAATTTCAACTCCACTGCACATCAGCCAGGTACACGGAGAACAGCCCTGGGAACTTTTGAATTTTTATTTCCTGTTTGATCAGAGTGAAGAGCTCGCCAGCACAGCTGATCATGGGGACTTAAGGCCACAAACGCGCTCCAGCATGGAGTACACAGGAGGTGGTGGATCTCATTGCTTTGTGGGGAGAAGAGTCTGTGCAGGCAGAGCTCCGATCCAGCAGAAGAAATGCTGATATTTATGCCAAGACTGCACAGGGGAGAAGGGCTACCCCAGAGACATGCAGCAGTGCCTCACGTTATCTTACTTTTCTTTACTGTCTCTGTGTGTTTGTGTGCATAATGAAACTTAACAGATTGAGGAGAAAAGGCTCTTTATTCATTCAACACATTGTGGCTGGTGGGGGTGGAATTTACAGGGGAGAAAATGAAATGGAGGAGGGGACAGTTTGGTAAGGAACAACACATATAAGTGTCACATTACTCTGACTCAATGCTGAAATTGGTTTTCAAAGCCTCACGGAGACGCAGAGCCCCTCAATGTGCTCTTCTTATTGCCCTGGTGTCTGGCTACTCAAAATTGGCTGCCAGGGAATCTGCATCAAACCCCCACCCCAGCGGAAACTTTTCTCCCTTTGTTTCACAGATATTATGGAGCACACAGTAGGCAACAATAACAATGGGGATATTGCTTTTACTGAGGTCTAACCTAGTACACAAACAACGCCAGCGACCTTTTAAATGTCCAAAGGCACATTCCACCACCATTCTGCACTTGTTCAGCCTGTGGTTGAACGGGTCCTTACTGCTGTCCAGGCTGCCTGTGTATGGCTTCATGAGCCATGGGAGCAAGGGGTAGGCTGGGTCTCCCAGGATCATGATTAGCATTTCAACATCACCAATAGTTATTTTGCAGTCTGGAAAGAAAATCCCTGCTTGCAGCTTTCTGAACAGACCTGTGTTCCTAAAGATGGGCGTCATCCACCTTTCCCGACCATCCCACACTGATGTCAGTGAAATGGCCCCTGTGATCCACAAACGCTTTAGGTTTATGTACTCTTTGGCAAGGTGGTCTGGTGCCAATAGAGGGATAGCATTCCATCTATCGCCCCACCACAATTAGGGAACCCCATCACGGCAAAACTATCCACTGTGTCCTGCATTTTGCCCAGAGTCTCTACCCTTCTTAGCAGAAGTCTGTTTATGGCCCTGCAAACTTGGATCACAACAGATCCCATGGTAGATTTACCCACTCCAAATTGATGCCCCACTGACCAGAGCAGTCTGGCATTGCAAGCTTCCACAGAGCTATCGCCACTTGCTTCTCCACTGTTAGAGCAGCTCTCATTTTAGTATGCACTTCAGGGCTGGGGAAAGCTCTTCACACAGTTTCTGGAAAGTGGACTTACACATTCAAAAGTTCTGCAGCCGCTGCTCGTCATCCCATAGCTGCATAATGATGCGGTCCCACCAGTCAGTGCTTGTTTCCCGGGCCCCGAAATGGCGCTCAACCGTGTCAAGGTGATGCATGACTGTCACCAGCAACTGCAAATTGCTCCGCTTTATGTTTTCCAGCAGGACAACTTGTGTGGCATCACATGGTTCCATGCAGCAGATCCTATATTGGCTGGGTAAATATTGCAGGATATGGCACGAGGTGTTTGTAATGCTCGCACCAACAGTGTACAGCTGAGTGGGGTCCATGCTTACCGTGCTATGGCGTCCACACGGGTAACCCAGGCTTACAAAAAAAGGTGTGAAGGAGGCTTGGTTTATTTGCCGCTGATTTCAGGGAGGGAGGGAGGTAAGTGCATCATGGGAGGCAAACGCCATGTTCCCATAACCATCCGCGCCATTGTTTTGGTCCCATAAGGCACTGCAAACCCAACCCAAAATTCCACTCAGCTATATGCACTGTGGGATAGCTACCCACAGTGCAGTGCGCCATGCGTCCATGCAAGCCCTGATAGTGAGCATGCACTCCGCCGACACAGTGATACTATGGACACACAAGATCAACTTGCTTTAATCAGAGGCTCAATGATGACTTACATGAAGTTGACTTAACTTTGTTGTGTAGACATTGGCTTAGTTACAGCCCACATTACACTGTCCCATAGCATGGCATCTATGAGCTTAGTTCTGGACTGAACCACTGTGTCTGATGTTAGTAAATTCTGTGTATGGGCCTACTTAGTACCGCTGAGCCCCATGAAGAGTTTGCTGGAGAGCCTGGGGAGGGAGATGGAGCAGAAGAAGAGAAGGGCAAAGAAAAGAATAAACCAAAGACAGCTGGGGGTGGAGGGCACATTAAACAAACAATGGAAGAGGGGCAGTAACTGATGGACTTTTTGGAATAGCACTCATTAAATTGTCTGTTAACTAAAAAGATCATGAGGATGCTCATGCGTTTATCATCTCACTGCTACTCGCTACACAGACAGCCACCAAAACGTGGCTTCCAATGCATCAAGTTCCAAATGTAATCAGGGTGAACAGTCAGCACAGGGGCCTTGGTTTATAAAGCATAAGTTACACTTCCCTTTTCCAGTACTGCTCATCTCGGGGGTGTCCCCAAAAACACAAGCCCC